ACTGTCTCGACAGCCGAGACAGCAAATGCTGTCTCGCGAGACTGTTTTCCGCCAAGTGTTCCCATGGGCTATAAATACCCCCTGAATGCCATTTTGAAGAGGGGCTTCCAGCAGAGATCCAAGGTTGATCATTTGGAGCACTTCAGAACAGACAGAGCAGAGTTCTTGAGCTTCCGGCAATCCCTTGATATTCAGGCTTTGACTTGATTTCAAGAAGAACGACTATCTTACCTTGATAAGATATCGTTTCAAGTTCTCACTTCGATAAACGAAATCAGAATCATAAACCCCTCACGATTCAATCAGAATCTGTGATTTGGTGGTCCACGGGCTAACGCACCCCCGGCACAGGCAAAGATCCCACGCAAGCAGTGATCCAAACAACGATCCTGCGTTTGTTTCCCAAGAGTTGTAATTTTCATTTTGTTGTGTAAAAGAAGTCTTATAAAAAGGCTATTTCTTTTGAATTTATTGTAATCGACTGAAGATATAATGAATTCCATGACAAAACCAACTTTTGACGCAAACAAAGTGCTCCCTATTTCACATGTCCAAAAGTCTCAACAAGTTTGAAATAAAATTTTCCAAATAACTGTGGTGCTCCACATAAAAACTTTACATACTACAGCACCATTACTGGAAAGGACAGCTTTACAGAGTACTGCATGAAAGAACACTTGTCAAGTGCTCATTCAAGTTCCTCCTCGCTGCTAGAAGATATACACATAAATGACTGCAATATCATGGAATTAAAATAGATGACATGACAGGAGTGCTTACAGTTTTGACAGATTCTAGGTGGGGCTTGGCCCATTTTTGCACCTGGGCTGATTTCTCTGATATCTGAAAAAGTTGTGAAATCCAAGTCATTCATTTAAAACAAAGATGAAGGTAAATAAAAATCAAACCAGTGGAAAATGCAGCTAGAAACCAGAATAAATAAATAAATAAATCCCACAACAGAAAATAGTCTATAAGGACACTCTCACAGCCCACCGAATAACCAGTTATCACCTTCTGTAGCAACATGTCCATGACTGGTTTTCCATGCTCATTCCAATGGGTCGTTCCAAGGTCCTGTAAGCATTGAATGGATCTTTTGAGAGACTATCCTGCATCATTTGTTTAAAGCATGAATATCTGAAACCCGGTTTACCTGGATAAGTCTTATTTGAGTTGCCAGCCAAGGGGGTAGCCACGCTCCATGAATCTAACCAAGAGACCATAGAGAGTTAACCTTGCTGGTTAATGATCAATAGTTACAGCTAATGCAATTGTGACCACTACATTACCAGTGACAAAACAATAATTCAGAGAAAAATGTTTTAACAGTAACAATTTTATAGTTTATTACCAATATGTTATAATACACTTGATAAAAGTAAGAAGACCAGAGTAAAGTAAGTAGCTTCAAACTGAAGCTCCAAGAAAACAGGAACAGTCAATGTAAATGTGCCTTGTCATAATAAATATTAATTAAAACTATCTGTCCGGGAAGATGAACTGAATAAATTAGTATCTCCCAGTCATCACAATTATGGTATCTATGTCTAATTCCTACTTTTTCACAATATTTTTTTAGCTGGTGGAAGATTTGCAAGCAAGTCCTAAATCCTAATATCCTTCAACATGTCTTGAGATCAGGATTAGATTGATTGCAGATACATAGATTCAGGAAAAGTTGCTCTACATGAAATGTCTTTAAAAGATCACATCCCTTGCTCATTTTCATCAAATTTGGGATTTAAGCACAAATAAGATTTTCATCTTCTCCCAGAGGAAGAGCTTAACAGAATTCCTCCGAACATTCATTATCCACAAAGGTCACAGAGGAAAACCTTCCAAAGTCCTAACAGACAGGTAATCTAAATTTTGCATGTATAAGCATATATTCTTACTGATAAAATATACCAAAGAAAAAATTCATTATACAGAGTATCCAAAAGTTCACAAAAAATTCATAAAACTCAAAGAGTACTCCTAAGTCCTACCCTCCTGTAATTCTAGATTTCACATCGACGAATGAACCGAAGATAGAAATTTATTTAGGGAGTAATGTTTTTGATATTTTGATGCATAATGACATCAAATTTCAACACGTAACAATTGCAGTTTTCCAGCATACTAGAAAAAATAACCCATGTACTTGCCTCATTCAATACTTTTGATTTTGATGTAGCTTCCAACTGTGCCCTCAATAACTCCTCCTGAGAAGTGCAAGGAAACACTCTAGTAAATGTGAGCATGACTGTCGTAAGATAGCTTTTGTCAAATATCAACAAACCTCTGCAACTTTAAGAGCACGTTCTGTTTTATGGAGTCGTCGCTTCTGATCCTCATTTGTCTTTTCAAGCTGGAGAGAGAACACTTATATTATCAGAATAGATTGCAGCTATAAAAGTAGCACAACTTTGTTAGCCCTTTCTAATAATACCTGCACGTCTATAACACTAGACCTGTAAATCATACAGATTTTAATAATAGAACAATATATATTTAACACACTTTCACGTATTACATACAAGTAGGGGGGAAGGAAGAGATAGTTCTGATAATGTGTGCCCCCAAAAAAATAAAAAAAATCTAACCACACTAGTTTCCAAAGGTGAAATAACTTAGTCAGCTTGAAAAAAGTCTTTAATATATAGGGGAGGAATAGTAACCAACAGCCTTAAGGATGCAACGGCTGTCTCTAATTTATTGGCTTTCTCTAAAGATCTTGGCCATTTCAAACATAACTAGATTGCCTACGTTACTTACAAAATGAATCGCAGTATATAGCTATGACTAACCAAAGATTATAAATACTGCAAGTTATGATTCCACGTTATGAGAAAATAAACACAGTGGTGCTACTCCCACCTCCAATCCGTTGACAGGGACCAAAGTCACAAACTTCTCATACATATCACAATAGCGCTCTAAGTTTTCCTAGTAAAGCAAGAGATTCCGGAACCAAAGTCCCGAAACTTCTCATACATATCACAATAGGTGCTCTTAAGTATTCCTAGCGAAGTAAGTTTGCATATCAAACTTCTTTATCGTAGGAACTTGCTTTGACAAGAAAATTTGTTATGCATATGAATATCATGGGAACATATACGAATATCATGGGAACTAGATTTCAGAAGAGTACTCCTGAAATTTATTTAACAACAAAGACGAGGGCAATGTAGTTGCAGGTAACAACACTATCATTTCACATACAGCCAGTGTGCTAGCAGATAACACATGGTCGAATACGTTTACCTTCAGATATATTTTCCACATCATAAGATGTTTCTAATAGGATGGAATAGAAGCAAGTAGCATCCTTTTACACATCGGACAACCTCTATCTTGAAAACATCTTTACACGAGAGACCAGGAACTTGATTTTAGAAGAGCATTTACATCTATATCATGGTGGGAACTTGTTTTTATGAAGTTACATGTCTCTACTCCCGTAAGTAGAACAAATAAAAAAAAAAATACTGTTTTCTAATTTGGGAGAAGCCATATCCTCGCCAATCATCGCATTAATAGCGACCAGATGAAGTTGAATACGGAACAAGTGATACCTCTAAATTCTAATTGTCCAGAGAAAATGATTTTTTTCGATAATTAAAACAAAAATCTGTAGGCAGTATATACTCACATTTCCCAGCAGAAGCTTAAGCTCCTCTATTTTCTTCTCCGCTCCACTGGCCCGTGCTTCCAACGCCTCGCTTTTCTTAGTTAGAGTCTCTTTATCAGTTTTAAGCTTCCCAACCTGTTCAACATATAAAAATTACTAACAAACTGGAACTATAATTGACCCAAAAATATCTTCATTCTAACCTCTTTCTCAAGTTCGCCAGCTCGTGCATGGGCTTTCCCAACTTGTTCTTCATCGACCACAGCCCCCTTTTTCTACATACCACGGAAAAAACGATGTTTATGTTGATCCAATTCAAGCAACACCAAAGAACTTCCTTCTCTTATCACTGTAATCTCACTCACCTGAAGTGATTCAATCTCGCTCCGCAATGCAGCAATGCTTGCTGATTTCTCCTCAATTAATTTACCCAGACTGACTATGCTAACGTCCTTGTTGTTCAGTTCTTTGGCTTTATCGGTTAGACTGGATTCTTCAGTAAGAAGATGTATGAAGGTGTTATAACAAGAAAATACAAACAGAAAAAATTTTCAATCTTGAATCCTTAAAAGTGATTTATATGGCAAGAAAAACCCGTACTTAAGTTCCCAAAATAAGAAAGCGAAAGAAATCTGCAATTCAAATAAAAAGAAAGCAACATCCTGCCCTAAACCCTAAAATCTGTCAAATCAACAAATAAGGAGAATCAAACAGCATAAAGACCAAAACTCAATCCAAAACCCTATCTTCTGATCCAAACTCAAGCGTACCTAGGGACGAGATCTTCGATTTGAGCTGCTCGATTTCAAGCTTCAGATGTGAATCCGAGGCCCCAGGCTCCACGATCACTTCTTCAGCCCTCGAATCCGCCCTAATTCCGACGGCCACGATCGAGATGGCGATCCAAAGCACCAGAAGCTTCGAACTCGCCATCGGATTAAACATTCCAAATTTAATAATTTATCCCTTCTTTTTTTCCTGTGGATTTTCTCCTATTTCGGGTTCGGTTATAAATTTCTTCGCACCGTGAGAAATGAAAGGAAAGAGGGAGGATACAAATTAAAGATAGATTATTATCTAGGGCTCAGCTTTGAACTGACACGTGTCAGTTAGTGTTGGCGTCAGAAGCAGCTAGCACGTGGCCGGTGTATTGGGGTGGGGGTAGGTTTGGCAACCGGCCGGCGGAGGACGACATCTGCAACGTGCTTCGTTAACAGCCGTTGATTTCGCGGAGTACGGGAGAAGGAACATTTAATGACCGTCTGACATAAATCTAACGGACGGGTTGAGGTTGAGTCGGGCACCATGCGGTGAGCGGGTGAGGTATGGTCACTGACATCGGTTTCGACGATATTTTTAGAGAGCGCGTCAACTAAAATCGCTTTCAGATTTTATATTAGGGCGATTTAGATATTAGTCCCTCACATCTTTAATAATTACATTTTAGTATCTCAGATTTCAATAGTTGCTCAATGGTCATTTAAATTCTAAAGCATCTTACAATTTGATCCCTCAATGATCAAAGTATCTCTTAGGCATGATTCCTTTCTTAAAAGTTTGATATGCTAAAGTTTACATCTTTTTAACTTCGATACGCTAAAGTTTCTGGACATTTATTTACTTACACCCTAAACTTTATACGGTGTTGCATCACAGAAACGACTAAGTGTTAATCCCGCTCTAAGAGTTTGACATGTGTCCTAAGTTAACTATGCATCATATTGACTCCACCCTTCCCAATAAGGGCCAAGAGGAAAGGCGTCCTCACGCGAACCTTGTAGTTAAGGCCAGATCTATACCTCTTTATTTTGTAAAACCAAGTCGAGAAGCTCTCAATCCAAGATGGCTGAATCAAAATACATCTTTTATATTGGCCCACTAGCAAAGCTGAGACGAAAGGCAGTCACTCTCAAACCCCACGCTGATAGCTGATAACTATCACATAAAAAATACATTGTCGGAGACATCATTACTCCAACCCCAAAAGTCATAATGACTCATCGAACCTTGTCAGTACCTTACTTTCTATGTCACCCTCGCATTAGTCACGAATGTGACTTACACCATCCATAGTCGACGCATATAAAGTATTAGTTGAATAAGCTGACTGCTTGGACTCAGCCGAAGTTACAAAATTGCCCTCATGAATCTGCTATGAATAAGTGTCATGCCTACTGCTTGGAGATACATGATTTTCTGGTAAGAGTACACACTTCAATCATACTTTTTCTCCTACATTTAAGATCAATACTGACTTGACCATCGGAGAAACCTGGAGAACTCAACTCCAATCCACCTACATATTGTTTTGTGTGCAAGACTAAATCCACTGTTCAATAATCAATCATCAAAAAAAGATCGAGGAACCCTAAAATCTAACATAACTCACACTAAAATTTCCTATCTGGTATTTGACTGCAACACTTTTTAACTCGGATACCCCAACGATTTATTTTTGACACCTTGATACCCTAAAGATTCCATGTTTTTAAACTTTAATACCTTAAAGTTTTATTTTTGTCACTTTAATACCTCAAATTCTAAATTTATGGTTATCAAAGTTAAAAAATGTGGAATCTTGAGGTATAAAATTTTTTTAAAATGTAAACTTTGTGGTATCAAAGTTTTAAAAATAAAATTTTGGATGGCAAAGTTAAAAGGTATAACTTAATTTGGGGTGTCAAATTATCAAAAAATTTTGGGATATCAAAGTTTAGAGAGGTGTAAACTTTAGATTGTTGAACTACAAATAAACCTTCAGAAAAACATCAGCAATGGGTATTTCAGTTATTGAGGGAACAAATTATAATAAGCCCTGGATTGGAGGCACTAATGAGCGATTTTAGAAATTTGAGAGACTATAATGCAATTATTGAAGATTAGAGGGACTAATATCTAAATAACCCTTTATATTAAAGTCGGGAATTGAATAGTCTGCTAAAGTGGATGGAATCTTTTTTTTTAAAACGGCAGATGGAAACATTTTAAAAAAGGAAAAAGGTACCGTCACCATGGGTGAAATAAGCACTGTCATCTAGAAGGTCCTATTTTGACGGAGATTTTCCATGAGCGGGTGGGTTGATGGCCTCGTTTTGAGTTTGGTGGAGCTCCGTGCATCTACATAGCTAAACTTTGAATTTGATAATTTAATGAAAAGAATAAAAAGAACTAAACAAAATGATAATGATTTAATTACAGGGAATAAAAGTCATATTAAAATATTCTCTCCAACGTTTATCGGTTTTGAATGGAAAATGATAGAGGCACACCACCGACCGCACTCCCACTTTTGCTACAGTGCAGCGGCCCCACATGTGATTTTTTTAAAAAAAATCACATGTGGGGCCAATGCACTATAGCAAGTGTGGGAGTGTGGTCGGTGGTGTGCCTAAGGGTGTGCCTGTAGCGCCTCCCGTTTTGAATCAACACAAAAAAATTATAGTAAAAATAAACAATGAAACAATGCAAAAAATTTATATCATCGATCCTTTTACATATAATATTGTTATCTCTTTTATACATTACATAGTTATCTTATTCTAATTAATTAATTAAATGAGAAATTACGATATACAGTTTAAGTATATATCATATGTATGTGTTTAGTTACATGTGAAAATATTTCACTGATAAAAGACTAGAAATTCATAATCAAAAGTTGGTTTCTATCTTTAAATTTAATTATCTATGATAATTAGTAAGAGATAAGAAGTTGTTATTCTATCATAATATCTTTAAATTATGGGATAAGGAATTGATAATTAGGAATAAGTTTTTAACTTTTTTTGTGCCTTTGGCGATTTATCTTTAATTTTAATTATCTATAGTAACTAGCAAAGAGAAAAAAATTGTTATCCTACCCTAATATTTTTAATGACAACATCATGATAAAGATAAGGGTTTGGTAATTATAAAAGATACCCTAAAATTTTAAAATTTACAAACAAACACAATAAACAAAATCAAAGATACAATGTGTACGCTAAAATATTATAAATATTAAATTTGTAAAAAGTACCCTACAAACTTAGAAAAGTGCAAAAGCCTCCCTTAAAATAAAAAAAAAAATTAGCCGTTTTTTGTAATGTTCATGAATAATGAAATATTCATCGTGTGTTTGGTAAATTTCAAACTTTAGGAAAGCAAACTAGTCTGGCTAAGATTTTTTTGTGCTTTGAAATTGAATGGCCTCATACATGTTCAAAATACATAATGTAATACACACATTGGATATTAGTGAGAATTTCAATGATATTTGGGGTTTAGTGTCAAACACCCAAATTTATTAGGAGTTCAGTGAAATTTAGCCATATAAATTCCATTTTATAGAAAGGATACAGAGGTTGACTATAGTATACATATATAAGAGGGTTAAGGTGTTAAAACTTTTGATTACTCTTTTTACCCCTCCCAATTTTGATAATTCCAGGTCTACTTTAATTTACTATCTCTTCACATGCATCTTAACTCAGTAATACTTAATAAGTAAAGTGGGGCCCTACAAATCTATTTCACCATTAAAACTCGAACTTATTTACCAAATCTTTACTCATCGAATTAATGATCAAATAATACAAAATCAAACTTAAACGTATAGCTAACCTTTCTATCTACATGTCTCCTCTCACTTCATACTCTTTACTAAACAATACTTTATTTCATTTTTTCACATCTCATTTCTTAATTGTCAATAATTACACAAATATGAACATAGAAAATTTTACACTCGCTCGTCTTCCTAACATCAATATAATTTAGTATCAAACCTTACCAAAATGTCTCCAATTTGCATTATTGATCGATTCAAGGTCTTGGTTGAGTCAGTGAATATATTGTTCAAGTGTACTAAGAATTGCTTCCAAACTTGAATTTTATCTCAGAGCTGATTATATCAGATCTCATAATTATTGCTTGTGAGTAGAGGAAGTTTGGGGAGGGAATTGTTGATGCTATTTGTGGGATGATACTTGAGGTGAGAAGTTGAATTTGTTGAGTTTTGTTTTGAACCCAAATAGAAAGCCTCGTACAAAATTATTCTTCATTGTTGCATTGTATTATAATTAACTTAAACGAAGTTATTGAAATTACCCTAGCGGGGGTGGGGGGTGGGGGGGTGAATATGGTAATCAAACAATAATGTGTAACTAATGAAAAATAATTCAATCAAAAACACAAAGTATGACAATAAGCAAAAATAATAGGGAGGGTAGGAGATAGTTAGCCAATTGAAGACGACGATATGTTCACGAGGTTTGGCCACTCTCGACCTACGTCCCCGATCACCTCTCTCGATGGTCATACACTCCACAACCCAGTTTGAAAACCAGAACTTCTTACACAACGATCTCCTCAAGATCTAAATCTCCACACAATGAGCTCCTCGAGATCTAGCTCTCCACACAATATAAAGTGAAGAAAATGATCTCTCTTACAAGAAGCTTATGACAAGGATAAGGAGATGAACAATTGAAGCACTAGGATTGTGAAACTATGAAAGTGAAAATCTGTAAGAAAAAGGCTTGAGAAATTTTGCTTTGAAAAATTAAAACACAAGTTGCCTTTTTCCTCTACTTAGTTGAGATCAAATGAGTATTTGAGAGCTATTTATAGTCTCTCAACCAAATCTGAAGGTATGGGCTACAAACCAGCTCAATTTTGCCCAAAAACGTTATCCAAATTCCCTTAATAATCGGATTTAGATAAAACTAGCCGTTACCAGAAAACCCGGGATCGATCGACTGATCAACTAACCAGTCGACTGACTGGAATGACTCAATTTTTACAGTGTTGCTGATATCGCTATCAGTCGACTGCTAAGCGATCAGTTGACCGATAATTATGGTCGGTCGACCGCATAGAAACAGTTTTCAGGCATTGTAAAATGAAACACAGTCGGACGACCAATGATTACGGTCGGTCGACTGAAGCACTGAAAAATATATTTTCATTTTAAAATAGCTGAATAACTTAAAAGAAATTATGAGGCTTTGGAAAATACTTTAATTTATAATGTACAAAGGATATAAAGTATTTCCTTTGAACAAACTTTGTTTAAAATGTTTTTTGAAAATTTGACAAAAAAATGGATTTTTAAATATGTGTGTGTAATCCCCTAATGCTTCAAGAGTTATCAACTTTACTTCTTGCATACATTATGATCTAGAGAGAAGTAAAAAAATGCAAATATTGATCGCAATTGTATACAATGATTGAGTATCGATATTTGCTAAGACTTGCCATTGATGAAGCTCTTCTTGAATATATGCTTGAAAGCTCTTCTTAAATAGATATTTGTG